ATGTTTAACAGAAACTTAGTTCTATTTCACTTTCTATAAAGTTTCCATTTACAAACATATGATGTAATCATACAGCCGAGTACAGTGTGAGGGTGAAAGTGGGGATGAGGCTGAGCAGACGATTTACATGTAAAAAATGAAGATGTTTGTTATGGATCTGAAAAGTAGATAATTATATTGGTAAACGACAATTGTATTTTATCATTTCCCTGTTAGATATTTTGAAGTGTTATGAGAATATAAAAACTGTATCAATCGCAAAATAATGAAAATCGCAGCAAATAAAAGTCTCTATATAATGAACAATTATATTGAGTTATGCAAAGATTTTAAAGCAACTAGTATTTGATGTGATGTAAATACTTCATGCACAAATAGAAGAATTTATGAACTATTCTTATTTATAGTCATATTTGATGTTCCTTGTCATTCGATAGACAGATGATTACTTTGTGGACTTCTCTGATTTATTTCTTTGAAAAACTAATAAAAATGTCTTTTTAATCGCATTTTTGAGCATTATGATCAATTGACGTCGTCCAATTGTCCTACACTCAATTTTTATAAAATCTTACACTTTAAACTTTTCTGAGAAGGGAAACATTGAAGGATTCTGTATTTATAACGACGATTATTCTGCTCATCAAATTCTATGTGGTTTAGGGGTTGTAGAAGTTTTTGCTCAATGGTTCTCGAAGAATCTTGAACAGAAAAGTCTTCATAGGCATTCAGTTTGAAATTAACTAGGGTTTTATCATTTTCTAGAAGACTATAATCGATTGAGATAAATAATGATCCAAATTGTAAGATTTTATTCATACCAATAGAAATTCCATTCTTAAGTATGATAATCAAATAATCTCACCTGTTCAGGTTGAGTCAATGGAATCAAAGTTGTTGATGGTGTTTCTATGTGACTGTCCATTGCTTTTCTTTTTTGACTTGTCTCTTTCTTTTTTTGATAAAATGATCGAAACATGCCAGTTTGCATTCCACTTGCAAAACATTTCATAAGTCGACAATAAGAACATACGTGACGATTATTCACATTTACTTCACAATGACTATTCCAATCACATTTCAATACTTCCTAACAAAAGATAAGAAATGTAATAAAAAGAGAATAAATATTTTCAAATGACCTGTCCATGTTCAGCATTTCGTTTGAAAAATGCTTTACATGCATGACATGCAACAGCACCATAATATGAATATTGAGCTGGTGCTCCACAAACTTTACATCTACTTGTCACTATTGTTGATTGTCGCTTTTTATTCGTAGAATTTTTTGATGATGAGTTTTTCATGATAAAAAACGGTTTTGTTTGATAAAATCTGGTAAATGAATGAACAATATTAGAAGTATGGTTTTCAATAGAAATCATAAAGGAAAATCTCGAACTTTCTTTAATTAATCTTTAGAACATTGAGAACGATAAAAAAAATTGTAAAAAGCATAACTATTTTCTCTTCATCATATATTTTTTTTCTTACAAATTTTCTGATATTCCAATGAAAATTATGGATCTAATCGCAGTTCTATTAGTTATGTAAAAAGAAAAGATTGAATTGTGTTTAGGAATATTTTCTGATTATATCACTAAATTCTATACTTACTTGATAACTATGAAAAATAAACCCTACCCACAAATGACATGCAGGGTGTGTGAGAAGAAAAAGAAAAAGAATCAACATCGAGAGATAAAAAATAAAGTTTTGTTCTTTTTAGTAAAAGAAAAACGATAGAAGGAGAGAATATTGAAATGTACTCAGAAACCCACACATGAGCCGAAGGCGCATTTTTTTTCATTCTGTGTAACAAAAAATATAGATGGGCAATGTGTCCTAGACAACATTTTATATATGTGAAAAACGAGTTCTTCTTTTATTCAATTTTAGTTATTTCTCTAATGAGTTAAGTTTAATTGAAGTTAAAAATTTATTTAGAATATTCAAAATATCTCACAATGAATTATATTCATCTACATTGTTACGTCAGGCGATGTTTCTCCTAACATAATGAGGCGCTCTCTATTCTCTTATAATATGATATTATCGCAATGTATTGAGGTGATTCGTATTCTGCTTTATCAATGGCACTTTGAATACGGACAAGGAGAGTTAAAACGTGGAATAAGAGAAAGAGAGAAAAGAACACATTCTTTGCTGCTTTTTTTCTTCAGTTGTTTTTTTTGAAATAAAAGAAGATCGAAGAATAAACAATAAGAAAATTAAAATAAACGATTTAAGAAGTTGTAACAAATTGGTGCACTAGCCGGATTCTTATTCTGAACATGAACACCCTATGTTAACAAGACAAGGTGCATTACGTCTCACTGAAGCTGAATTTCGTCGATTAACTAATATTGATATCGATTTTCCTGGACGTACTATACCATTTTAAATTGTTTATCGTCCAGCAGACTTTATTATGGCTGAAAAAACTGTTGCCAATATACTCAGTAAAACTTTAGAACAAACACCAAAATAGTCTGGCAAACCTGATCAAGATGCTGATGAATGGCTTAAAGATCTCACTGCTACATTTCGTATGGCTGATATTACTGAACCACAAGCATTAAAGATAATTCCTACTTTTTTGGAGGGACCAGCTAAACAATGGTTCGTCGAAAATAATACACATCTTGAATCATGGAATACATTTAAAGCTGAATTTATTCATACTTATTCCTCCCCAACAGTGAAACAATTAGCATCACAACGCTTACGAACTCGGCAACAATGTACCGATGAACCTGTGATTGAATATTACACTTATGTTATGAAATTATGCAAAATTATTGATCCAAATATGACAGATGTTTCGAAACTTGATCATTTATACCATGGCCTAAAACCGCCTTTAATGAAAGAAGTATTACGTCAAGCACCCTGAACACCATCAGAATTTTTTGACCATGCACGAAGAGAAGAAAATTTAGATCGTTTAGTGGCTACATCCGTTAATCCAACACCAGATAATGATAACTTTGGAACTAGTTTGTCCAGTAATTCATCTCATGGTTCTACAAAAATTGATCAACCTCTACGATTTCAAAACTCGTCAAATATATACTCTCCTGATTATTCGGCCCACTTTTATTCACCACAAACACCATATCCTCGCCCTTGCCATCGGTCAATGCCACGTTATGCTTCACACCCGTTCAACTCTTCATTCAATACCATACCTCAGTATCAACGACCTCTTCGATGGTATCGATGCAATAAACCCGATCATTATGCATATGATTGTCGAGCTCCAAAAAAATAGTACGGGAGTCTCATGATGGTAGTGCCTCCCACTTCGCACAACCATCACATTATTTCCTGTCCAGATCCAAAACCCTCTTACCAATAACTAAAACAAAACTATTTTTTTCAAAGCCTTTCGGCATTTTTCGTATCGAACACACCAGTCAGCGACAATATATTCGAATTGCCTTACGCAGAAACGTCAACTATGACCAAGTGACACATCCCGATTAAACTCGCTTAACCAAAGGCCAAAACAGAACATGAATCAACAACGTATAAAATCAACCAATCCTTCATTAATTTTTTCAATGTATTTGTTAATGGCAAATATCTACGTGCTATGATCGATACTGGAGCTAGTCATTTGTTTATCACTCAACGTGCATTAAGTACATTATATCATTCAGCAGTATCATCCTGTTCGCGTATTGCTCAATTAGGTGACGGTCATACTCAACTAAAAATACTAGGTGAAGTACAACTATTGCTCAAGTTTGATCAGGTCTTTACATCTCTGAAGGCCTTCGTTGTCAAAACGTTGAATACCGACTTTCTTCTCGGTGATAATTGGTGCAATCACAATGCAGTACAAATTGATTATGAAAAAAACCAAGTTTCGATTCGTTCACCTACTGGACGTGTATTTATTCCATATGATAAATTTATTGATCATTTAACTTTAGATGTCAAACTAGTTGATTCTGTTAAAATACCACCCCGTGAAGCTGCCACTGTTCAAGCAAAAATTGAATTGTCATCTGCTGACACCGTTTATTTTCATCCTGATCTTACTACTCAAGTCGAAAAATCTATTTTACTCTCGCCGTCTTTATTGAATATTAAAAATTATACAACATATCTCGAAATATACAATCCTGATGATTATACGCGTCATTTACCGATGAATACTTTTTTAGGTCGTATAACGCATGCACCTCATCATATACAATCCTTTCCATTGTTTGAATCATCCGATTGTACACTTTCGTCAGCTAGACAACACCATTTTATTAATACACTCGACCTTACATCTTGTGCTACAACAACTGAAACGATTGATAAATTACTTGATCATATCACTAATCTTCAGGATAAAAATGAAATTCAACGCATCCTTCAACAACACATACAAGTATTCGATGTTTCTAAAGTCACACAAGCACATACTCCTATTCAACATACTATTAATACCGGTGACAGTCTTCCAATTAGTTCACGACCGTATCCAAGAACCATTCAGCAACGCCGTGAGCTTCAAGATGAAATACAGAAAATGATACAACACAATCAAATTCGTCCTTCAACATCACCTTGGTCTTCTCCAGTTATTATTCACAAGAAACCGGATGGTGGTATCCGATTTCTAGGTGATTATCGAAAACTGAACGCTGTAACAAAAAAAGATTCTTTTCCTCAACCAACAACAGAAGAATTATTACATCGTTTAGGGGGCCAGCAATTTTATACAAAATTAGATCTCAAGTCGGGCTATTTTCAACTTCCTATCCATGAAGCAGACAAAGAAAAAACGGCTTTTATTACTCAAGATGGTTTATGGGAATTTAATGTATTGCCACAAGGTGTCATGAATGGACCTTCCACTTTTCAAAGAACGATGCATAATTTACTTGGCTATGGACGTTGGGATTACGTTCTGGTTTACTTAGATGATATTCTAATATTTTCCCGCACTTTCGATGAACACAAAAAACATCTACATGAAATATTATCAATATTAGCAAATGCCAATTTCCAAGTTAATCCTGCAAAATGTTCTATAGCAGTTCGTGAAATCGAGTTTTTAAGTCATACCATTAATGAAAACTTTATTAAACCTAATGGTGAAAAAATTAAAGCAATTCGTGAATTACCCGCACTCAAAACACTTAAAGAAGCGAATGAATTCTTGGGAAAAATCAACTGGTACCGAAAATTTATACCTGATTTTGCTCGCGTGGCCGCACCGCTACATAAAGTCACTAATAAAACAAAAAATCATCGACATCAATTCAGCTGGAGACCCGAACAGCAAAATGCATTTGATGAATTTAAACGAATTTTGACCACTCACCCATTATTTTTAGAATATCCTGATTTATCAACACCATTCATATTAACAACTGATGCATCTGATGTCGGTATCGGTGGAATATTACGACAAGATACTGCTAATGGCACTAAAATTAACTATTTCAAATCTCGCGTTTTAAATGATATTGAACGAAAATATGATACATTTGAAAAAGAAGCGTTAGCTATTTATTTGTGTCTTACTGAACGTCGGTCATACATAGGTGATTCTTCTGTTATTGTTGAAACTGATCATAAACCACTTGAAAATTTTCATACGAAGCAAATTAATAATAAACGTGTGATGAACTGGCTTTTTAAATTACAAGATATGTAACCACAAATTATTGCAGTCAAATATCGTCAAGGTGCTACTAATATCGCTGCCGATTATATTTCACGACATTTCCTACCGGCTCCTACTGTCAGCACTATATGTTCTACTAGTACTCAATTGCATGATACCTGGCCAATAGACTCTGAACGATGGATGGTCGAGGTACCCAAACCACAGCGCATACAATTTGCTAATCAATTTATTTCACCGAACAATTGTTCTTCTGTTATGGATAACAAATTTTTTGACCTCCATACCATTACTACTAGAGCACAAGCTAAACGCCTTGTTCAACCCGATTCACCTTCAGCAAATGTTTCAACAACACCTACCATAATTCAAGATGTATCTACTCCCTCATCATCAAGTAAGCCGATCTATGATTTCAGTTTACCACGCATTCGAATTGAACAAGAAAACGACTCGGTTATTCAAACGATAATTTATCAAATTCGTCACAATAAGACTCATGGATCATTTACTCTCGAGGATAATATTCTTTATAAAAGCATTGGTGCTAGTCACAACACTATTCGACTTATTTATATGCCGATGAAGTTAATTCCAGAATTACTAGCAGCTTACCATGATCATCCGTTAAGTAGTCATTTTGGTGTTACACGTACATGGTATGCGTTAAAAAGTAAATATTATTGGCCTCGTATGAAACAAACGATTATATCTTATATTAGATCATGCGACAAATGTTCACAATTTAATATCAGTCGTCATAAACCTCCAGGCCACTTACAACCCATACAACCGCCTCATGAAATTTTTCAAGTACTAGGTATGGATTGGTGGGGACCTACAACAACTTCTCTTGCTGGAAACCGTTATGTCTTAGTTATTACAGATCGATTATCCGGTTATATCTTTGCTAAAGCCTCGCCAACAAATACGGCTCAAGACACAGCTCGTATTTTGATGAAAGATATTATTTTAGTTCATGGTCCACCTGATGTACTTATTACTGATCAAGGAACACATTTTAATAATGAATTAGTACATTCTCTAACTACGCTAATTGGTTGTAAACATATTTTTTCAACACCATACCACCCACAAACTAATGGGCAAACGGAACGCTGAAGCTCGACATTTATCACACAAATCGCAAAATTTTGTAACACCGATCACAACAATTGGGATACACATCTACCTTCCATTGTTTATGCTTACAATCACGGTTTACATAGTTCGAGTCATTTTACCCCGTACCAACTTGTATTTGGACGTCGTCCACGTAATCCATTCGAACCTCCACAGTCCACCTTTTCGTTCAAAAAACCACACTATTATTGGATGCAAATCATGAACTATAGACGTATAGCTTTACAACAAGCTCAAAACAACATCATACATCAACAACAACTAACAAAACGTCGTTTTGACAAAAATCGATCACATCCTAATTTTAAACTCGGTGACCTGGTATGGCTAAAAGTTTTTCTTGGGCGAACTAAACTTGCTGCTCGATACACTGGTCCTACTCGAATTGTTCAAATTATTTCTCCAGTATCATTCATTGTGGAAGATGGAAATTTGCAAAGATTCCAAGTACATTCTCATGATATTCGACGGGTGTATTCGCGTTAAACTTTGGTCCATATTAAATTCTTATTGATCAAACAATACTTTATCACAATTATCACATACTTACACGTTTCCCTGTGTATTGGCAAAAAACAACATTTCTTACACCATTTTTTATGCATCTGTTTTTTTCATTCCATTTCTTTTCATATACGCCTAATCTATAGTTACACATCGTTTCGCATCACAATCAAGCATTGAATTATTCATTATGATAATCTTCGGTACATTTTTTGTGTTGATAATAATTCCATCTGTATCGGCGTTTTTGGATCGTCCATTGACAGTAGCTTTTGAAACAAAATATGACAACAATCATAATGAAATTAAACAACTTCTTGTACAAAATAAAGATTTCGATTCTACTAATTGGATGCATTATGCTCTGCTTCTACAATTAGTTATCAACATTTTCATTGTTATGGCTTTCATCATTTATGTCTATAAACGTTGTTGTCCGATCGCCAATTTAGCTAGAGATGTTGAACACCAGCAGCATTGGCTTACAAATTTACCTTCACGCACTCAATCACTCGGTCAACCACCTCCTTCTCATGTACATCCATCACTATACCAACCAACATCACCACCTTACACTTCTCTGTTATCTACAATTCCTCGTGGTCCGACCATGCTGTCCAACGCAGTGCCGAATCCAATTGTATCTTAATTATTATCATCATTCAATTACATTACTCCTACTTCAATTACTGCTGCTTAATTCAATTTCAAATCATTCTATTTTCATGCCATTAGATTATTTTATCATTATTGCTTGGTTCTATGTCATTTAATCATCCGTTCCAACAATTTTTCTCTTGCTTTTTGAACAATTTTACACATCTTCCGCTGCTGTACTATTAACAGTTCTCTCTAATGTTCGTTTTTATTCTTTTTTTTTCCTCTGCTTTCCGGTTTTGTAATACTACATTTCAATTCATTTACACATTTCTTGTGGCCGGGGAGGTGTTATGTCAGGAGATGTCTCTCCTAACACAATGAGGCGCTCTCTATTCTCTTATAATATGATACTATCGCAATGTATCGAGGTGATTCGTATTCTGCTTTATCAATGGCACTTTGAATACGGACAAGGAGAGTTAAAACATGGAATAAGAGAAAGAGAGAAAAAAACACATTCTTTGCTGCTTTTTTTCTTCAGTTGTTTTTTTTTGGAATAAAAGAAGGTCGAAGAATAAACAATAAGAAAATTAAAATAAACGATTTAAGAAGTTGTAACATACATTGATCGACAAAATCAAATACCTACAAATAAATATGGCATATTTTTACACATTATACATCTTTCTTTCTAATTGGTGACAGAACAGATGAAAAATTTCGTTGGATAGCATGATCATCGACCAATAAAAAGGATATCGAGACAGATGTCAAAATACAACGAACAGAAATATTTGTACTGGCTAATGATAATCGGCCGAAGAAGTCGAAGCCGAAATGATTCTGATGCATTGATGGATTACTATAGATGTAGCCAGATGTCAAATTTTTAACATAGTCAATCAAGAACTTCGATCTTCGGCTTCGGTCGATTATCATTATCCATTTTTACTTATGTACAAGGCTGGCTTCCCACTCCACCTCTTTTTCCTCTTTTTTTAGGAAAACTTAGGTGCTAAAGGAAAGTAGTCGATAATGTGAACTTATTTGGATGAATCAGTACACTTTTACCTAATAAGATCAATAATAAGGTTGAAAATTGACCTTGAGTACGTATTGAGAGAATAGTGTGGGTGTGAGTGTGAGTATGGGTGATCGTGATAAGCAGAGTCTCATACACACCCTCAATTGTTTTGCTTATAATAATAAGTATTATAAACAAACTCGTGGTGGAGCTATGGCTTCAGCATTTACACAAGTATTGGGTAACATCTATAGATATGAATGGGAGCAAGATTTTATCAAACATCAACAAAAACATAACGGAATAAATGGAAGGTTTGTTAAACATATATGATATGAAAAAATTTGAGTTAATTAACGCTTATCTTTCATAGATACATCGATGGCATATTCATGACAACTAATCATACCATAGGTGAAATTAAAGAAGAACTCGAAAGAGCGAATAATAAAGATATTAATAGTAAAATCTAGGCAGAAACAGTGAAGATTTCGCTCATGAAGTCCGATGAAGTCCCGCAAAATTTCATAAAATCTGAAACTTTTGGAAAACTTTTAATTCCCAAAAAATCACAAAGAAACCAAGCAAATAATCTTGTTTTCGATGGTCTTCTTTTAACAGAAATGTAAACTTTGATTGTTTAGTGGAACTGCAGAAAAACATTCTGAGCTCATTTGAACTCAATAAAACAAAATACTAAGTATTTGAATAGTTTTTCATAAAGTTGTTTATTCTATAGTGAAATGTTTCATCAAGCTAATATCAATGTTATACAAAATTTTAATCTCTTTTATTCATTTGTATCACTTGCGATAGTCTATCAGCCGATAAACGGCTAGCTTCGTCCGTCAATAATCAACAAGTTGTTTCCTTAGTATGAACTTAATTTGTTATTAACTGTTCATATCTATCCGTGACGGGCTTTTTTATACAAAATTTTGAGCTATTGGTGTTATATATTCATTGGTTTTATTAAACAAGAGAAAATATAAACGTTTGAATCTGCAAAAAGATAATAGAAAATGTTGTAACAAAATATGTACGCTCTCAAGTGTCTAAAATGTCTCTGATGTGTAGAATCGTCTTTTCAACATTATTTGCATCATCTTAAAAGATTCCAGTTATAGATGTACTGCGAGAAAGAATTCTAAGAAACAAGACATTCTTTTTTAATCTCTATATGATAGATGTTGTTTTTTGCATGTTACGAAAATTTCATGTAATTTCTAAGGTTTCTTTATATTCATGGGATCTCCAAGTCTTTTGAAGTCTTGTAAAATCTTGTGAAGTCTTTAGAAGTCTCAGGAAGCCTGTGAAGTCTCACGGAACCCGTGAAGTTCGTGAAGTCTCTTGAAATCTATGGAAATCTTTTGAAGTCTTTTGAAATCTTGTGAAAATTTGAAGTCTGTGCGGCTGAAGTCCGCTGTTTCCCTCTTGTCTTTCCTCTTATAGCCTTACTTCCTATAGCCCTACTCCCTTCTTACCTTACTTCCTTATAGGCTTACCCGCTATAGCGTTTCCCCTTCTAGTCTCACCACTTAGAACCTGATCCCTTTATTACCTACCCTCTTACTGCCTTACTCCCCTGAGGGTCTATGGATAACTCCATATAATAGCCCGTGAGGACCTATGGGTACCACAATACAGCAGCTCTTGGCACCCTTCCCTTATGGTCCTATTTGACCTTTAATCTTTGACCCGGCACAGACAGACAGACCGACAGGCATTGAATACTATATATATAGATGCAGGTTTGATCCAGTAGTGAAACTCATGGTGATTTTCCATTATTATCAATAGTAGACAGAAGAGTGTGGGTGTGGATGTGGGTGGGTGTGGGCGTGTGGGTACTCCTCAACATCCACACCCACACCCACACCCATACCCAAACTCTTAACCGTAGTAGTAAGATAGTTATTCGCTATAACAGACAATACTAATCAATTCTATTTTGAAAAACCGTAATCTCATTCTTTAATTTCGTTTTGAACTAGTTTCATTTGTAATATTATTATAAATAAATTCAAAATAGTATGAAGTAACAAATCATTTGTTAGCAGATAAGAAAACGTGGATTTTATCTAAACGCACTAGATGAATCACTTTTAGAGAGAAACGAAAGAGGATTTTTTTCAACCAACGAAACGATCGCTGAAAGCAAAGAAAGAAAAGTTATGACTATCTTATACTTGTAAATGTTCACGAACTATTTATTTTTTTCCATTCGATATCGTATTGTACGAGTGATGCTTATACATTTTGACTATATTAACATTCTTAGCTAGAAGAAGAACAAAGAAAAATCTTTCTAATTTTTTTAAATTTTTAGATGAATATTTGTTCTTATTGGAAGTACTGTTGTTGTTGTATGAAAGGAAACATCAATGAACAAACAGGAAGTGGCGTTGGAAATACCAACAACATCATCGTCACTAATCAACCAATGGTAAATATCATTCTTAAAATTTCTATTAAAGCAACACTGAATTTTTAGTCATCGGTCTCTCCTTTCCAACAACAACCTTCGAGACCCCTTTCTATTGAAGTGAAAGTGAGTGTTTTCTGATGAAAATTCATCAAACATATTCTTCTTTTTTCTCTAATAGACAGAATCTCAAGTTTATATTATTTCGTTAAAGGACATGAATAATCTTACTGTAAAAAGAGGTTGATCTGATGAATCACCTCCTCGGCGATCAAATCTCAAAAATATTCTTCAACAAATAAAAAACATGAAACGATTCCTCTAATTATCGTTTTTTTGTTGTTTTATTATGTATTTTTTTTCGTCGAGAAAATTAATCAAGTTTATTAAATCAATCTTCCATTCTTTATCTTATCTTAAAATTGATGTTTATTATTAATTATTGAAAAAAAAGAATGTCTTGAAACAGAAGCTTGTCTCAGTTAAACTATGTTATTTTTTTTTTGTTCTAATTAATTAAGTTTATATTTGGTCTCTAATGTTTTTTTTGTGTTCTCATTTGTATCTCAAGAAAAAAAGTCTTCTTTCAATAAAATCTATGTATTTTTCTTTAGTATTAATTGTTCTGTTAAAATGAATTAAGGATACAAAACATTCGGAGTATGGACTTACATCAGACAAAAATGCTCTACACATTACCAAAAGAAGCCATACTTTTCAGAATTCCTCATTTTTTTTCACGGTTTCAACTGCACGATGTAAATGCTTGAAATGAACATCGTGAATCAGGAGTATTAAATACCTCTTTACAAAAAGTCAAGTTCTTCATCTGGTAGATTAAGAAACGGACTTTTACATCTTTGATGTGAGATTTTTTTTTCAAAACAAACAAATTCAATGCATAGTTTTTTACAATCTAAACTTCATCGACATTTTTGTTATGATCTTATCAAGATAAATGGTTATAAATTGAAAAATCCTACAGAAAACGCAAACTATTTTACAATAATTCAATCAAATCATCTCAATATGAACATTAGTTTTGTATTTTTAAGATAAAATAATTTAATCGAAAGATTTAATCGCTTGAATAAGATTACAGAATGTCTGAAGAATAACAATAAAAGAAATATACATTAAAGATTAAACGACAAAAAAGTCTTTGATCTTTTTGATAACGAATTAAAATTCCAATGCAGTTGTTGTTTCAATGATTTTATCAACAATATACTATAAAGAGAAAATCAAATAAATCTTTTCGGAATTAAATAAAAATAAATGCGGAAACTTCGGATTTAAATCCGAGAGTTATGTGTACTTCAAAAAGTGAATCAGACAGATGAGTCGTTCTAGAACGTGTGGACATCAAAATTATACTGGGGAACCTACCATCTAAACTGTTGATTTCTATTGAGTATTGCCAAACCAATAGGACTTGGGACCCAATACAGCTCAAATTTGAACTCTTCCCCTTGATTTACCCTAAGAAAGTCGTTTTTCCTATAACTTGATTTCTAGTGGTCACTGCTCAACCAATAGTATTTCGATGGAAGTGGAATACAGATTCGAGTTCTCCATCTCAGAAAACCTCGAAGTATCA